TAGGAAGAGCTGCTGTAACTTGTGTAAAAAGGCACAATCAATAATGCTAACCAATGCCAACAGCATCTGGTGTTCCCAGCGGTCCACCCTATCCCAGACTGACCGAGACACAACGTTGCTTACTTCGCTGATAGACGAGAACCGGTGCTTTCAACGTGGTATGATCGTTGGCATCTATGCCATCGACATTAACTACTTTTCCCTCTGATCAGATTTTTCATTTCTTTCAATATGATGTATCTTTCGTGTTTGCATCAAACCTACTTAGGAAGTAATTCGTCATATCACTGAGATGCTCCACAATATATGCATCAACCTTAATTATCATGACATTCCAGTCATATTATTGAGATCCTCCACAGTATACATCTATCACAACCAACCAGTATCGGATAAGCAATGCTAATTCAACGTCACCACTTTTATGCACCTGCATTAAACCTTTTATCAATTTCTGAACTGTGCAACTCTGTAAAGAATGTAGGGTGCACAAGTAATGCATTTGAGTAAAATGATATTGTACACAGTTATAAATCTGCACATCGTCGACACTGTAAGTAGGGGCTAAACGATATAGCTAACCGTAAGCAGAAATGCTGATTATTACTGAATCTTGAATCGTGAGTACTTTCATATAACTTTTTGCTGTTACAATATTGCTGTTTGTTACTGGTATTATCAGTATCATTATAACTTGTATTTCCATTACTATCACCATTATTTTTATTTGTATTAGCATGGGATTGTCAAAAGCGATACCGATACATTGATACTTGAAAATTGACTAAAGCAATTCCGATAAATTGATTCTTTGTAAATAGTTAAGCGATAACGATAACACCACCTTATTACATATCGTGAAACCTTAAATGTAGAAATTCCCTTGACATGTTAAATATCTGATGCATTTGTTTAAATGCGGTGTTTTTTTTATGTAATACAGATTACTAAATAATTTTCCGCCAAAAATATTACTGATAACTTCCCCGCGTAAAAATCAATTACACTTACAAAACGAAACACTTATTCCACCACTTTAATAATATGATGGCGTAAATAGTTCACTATTTTCACTGACAATCTTTGGGTTATTACTGCGCGACGAAGCCACATGGGGGGGGGAAGTTCGTGCTTGGTTCTTGTAAATGAGTTTTATAATGAAATAAGGTAATTTACTAACTTCTCAAAGTCCCTTAATTTCATCTTTGTTTCGGCGGCCCTGTTATAAATGTGTGTTATGTGTGTAATAACAATGTACATGAGTATTAGAATACAAATAATGTAACCCAGATATGTTATGAATATCCACACTAAAATATAACTCAAATATTATAAAAGGATTAAACATAAATATTTACTACATTGCCATGACGTTGGACTATGGAATACTGGTTTTTGATCCCTGTGACAACACAATTAATATATCTTCGTTTTTTATATGTGATCGATATTCTATGGTAAAAGATAATCTTTCTACATGGTAAATAAAATCATAGGTATCATATATAGGTCAGAATGAAGAAGCATATTCGCATATTTTGCCAACCAAGGACTGGTAATATGCACGTATCTTGTAATCTTATGAACATATATATAAAATATTAAGATACTAAGTTATATACATATATATAATACCTTAATATAGTAATATATGCGTAAATATATATACATGTTATATATGAATATCCCTATGTATATAAATAATATATATAGTACCTAAATATAAATATACAAGTATATATATACCCATTTAGTTTTAATCATGAGTATCCATTCCTATTTACACCCGTTTGATCTTTATTCTAAAAAAAATATCAAGAATTTCTTTACAATCTAATTTTCTTAGCCTTATACCTATCTTTCATAATGCCCTTAATCCCCTTTAGTGGTACTACGGTTTCCGCATTTGGGTTGACTATGGTTATCCCTCAAACGGATAAATCTTTTGCCTTTTACTAATCTTCTGTGGATCGGACAACTCAATAGTCTTACTCAATTTCTCTATAGCCCACTTTCCTAAGTTCTAATAAGATTGAGCTAGAATTGATATACATAGTCTTATATTATTAGAACCATTGATTTTCATACAACTCTTTTTTCTTTCTTAATAATGAAGAAAAAGAAGCAAAACATTGGCTTTCGCACAGAAAAAAATCTGATTGTTTGCATTTATATTCTTGTATACACAGAATTCATTTATATCACTGTTCATTATTTCCTCATCAAAAAACCGATTCACAGCAACTACAAACATATACCTAAATAGTGCCAATAATCGTGATCATATTAAAATGATGCTAAAATGCTTTATTGATCCCCCGAAAGATTACCATGCTACTATCTGAAATATCCTTCTGCACTTTCCGATACTTTTAAACGTTTACGATATACATCAACACAATCCTCAAACGATGATCTGTAAAATTTGTGTGATTTCGGATAATATATCGGTTCTGTCATTAGGCCACTTCTTGCATGTAGCTGCTTTGAACAAACTAACCTAACGCAAACAAGTAATGAAGGCTTGCCTCGGTGGATAGTGGGATATCGAACAATTTTTTTGTAAATTAATATTGTTAAGGGGGATAGCGCGAACGCATTTCCCCGCTAACAAAAATTTGCACACGTCGTATAACCACATTTGGGTTAATCGCAGGGGTCAGCGCCCACCAGGAGAGTGCAATGGTGAGCCTCGCCTGTGAGAACCGCCCCTTCGTGAATCCGGTATCTCCGTGCCAGGTAAGTATGCTTCTCTAAACCCACGCGCCGACCCACGCTCCGCCCAACTGACAAGCCCACGCGCACCACAACCATTATACAAATGTTAAACTCTGACATCAGTTTTCCAAGATCTTTCTAGTGAATAACACTTATAATTATTTCAAAAACTATGTTTAACACAAAATTTGAATTACCCCATTAATATAGTAGAGTGAAGAGCTTTCTTTGCGGCATCAATTATATCCATTCTATACGACTTTTAGCATCTCTGTGACATTGTTTGGTAATGTTCGTAAGTATACTATGTTTCGCACACATACACATATATCCATCGAATCATCCGCACATTCCACAAGTACAGATGGACTACATGGTTAGCATAAATGTAATATTCAGATGGATATACGTGTTTACGCTAAATGTATTGTCAGTGATTTTAATGGACATTTAGGTATAACCATATCACTAATCTAATGTTATTAATGCTAGGATAATATCACATGGGAAGTATTGTCATTAAATACAAACGTATTTACAGGCATCTGAGAATTTTTACATCAAAAGAAACGTCAAATGGATTTTTGTGTGTATCTTACGTTAACATTCTGTGAGTCATTTACTATGTTAAAATTACATGTTTACACATAACATGAGATTATATATATCAACCAGTATTATACAACACGCACATTTATAATATATATATGTGCGTGTCTATAATTGCGGCCGGCATATGTGAAGTGCGCTTATTAGTGTGGTCATATTCTTATACAGGTTTTGTGGCAGTTGTTTTTTTCCCCGCATGTACTTTCTTGAGTCCGAGAGTTATCCCCAACGTTGAAAATCCAAGCAACATTTTTTTCTCGAATTTTCATACAGGAAAACATTCTCATAATTATGACATCAAAATTTCCAACTCATTCATTTACGCCCTTCTGATCTTAAGGAACTTCACTCAGTCAAGTACTCACGACAACATATTTTACAGACACACTTTTCAACCTTTTCCATATCGCTTCTCGCCTTTTGGCTAAGATCAAAGTGTAGTAATCTGGTCTTATCAGCTAATCTGATACGATCCCCGTGTGGGATCTACGATTTACACTGATTTTTGGAAAATGGCGAAGTGCTAGGGCGTGCTCCACCTTTGCCGCGGATCGGCCCTGTATTGCAGTCCTCCGGATTGGTCCACTCCCTCCGGGAGGATATCATTCTAGTTATTAATTTAAATTATCGAAATTTGCGATGCGAAAGTCCACATCTGTAAAAGGAGTCAGTGTCGCTTTAACGGCGTTCCTACACCACTGTCGGGATCGCCAGGTATACAATACTTTCAAACCGCAGCCAATCCCACCGAGGATAAACTTTTTCGGATTACATTATCTGTCGGCGGCCGCATGATTTTCTTCTAAAAATGAAACGGATTTCTGTGGTTTACTACACCTTTGTGCCCATGGGTCGCATTACCTCCTATTATCTACTTATAATCACATTGTATGAATTCAATATCAGATCTATATTTATTAATATTACTATCATTGTCAAATGACAAATATTTTATTTCTAGCTCTGTAACACCTTGCTTCATCATCTACAGTACATATAAAGTGCACCGTAGAACTTATATGACGCATCTTTACAAAGAATGTAAATAAAAGGAACTTAAACCTATGCCCACAGAACGTCAAGAGAAACATACTCTCAATAGCTTTCATAGAAATTACTTGACAATCCGTCCAATCTCTCCGAAGAGTATATCAACTAATTGTTTACTTTATAAGCACCGTCGATTTTTGACAGTACCCTCTAAAAACAGCTGAGATGGCGCTAGAAAGATTTGCTTCCTCGTTGTCGTAGATCGTCTAATTATTCAGTTTCAACTTGAACATTTTGCAAAGGTATATGGAGTAACATTGGTTTCTGCTAAAACATTCCGAAATAAAATTTATTTCTATAGTCCGTTAATATTCTGGTGCTAAGACGAAATTTCTTGCTCGTTCCACTAATCTAATTCTACATTATTTTCTTTACTATAAACATGGACACCGAGTTTCCTCATTCATTTAGACTTTACATTATGCTGCTAATCAAAATCACATATTGACATAAAGTAAATGAAGGGGTACAGACTTGAGTGGTATTACTCACTGCAATAGTAATAAAGTGTCTTCCGTCACATTGTGCAAGGCCGGGAAAATCCTTGAATTTTCAAAGAAAATCCTGGAAAAGTGGAAATTTACATCGGGTGACAACTTTTTTTTTTTTTCAGAAAACGTATGTGTCATGATCAGAATACAAAGATCGTTTTTTTATGTTACACCCATGTATCCGAAGGTTTGATTAGTTTGCTTTGTCACACACTTCGGGGACAGTGTATCGCTGCTGCTCCAGTTTTACTCTATTTCAATAGTTTAGTTGAAGACAGTACTAAGGATGTTTTATTGCTGAGATTGTTTGAAAATAAGAATAAGGTAATGAAAATGTTTAGAGAAATTTACTTTAAAAGCGCCATCCATTTTCATCTTTCATTTTGTCTTCTCAAAACCTTGCGTCATATTTTGTTTAAATACTTTTCAAGAGGTTTGGACCCTGGAAATATCATGAAAGCTTGAATTTCAGATTCAAGTAGGGGAAGGACCTTGTAATAACACTAACAGTGTTGTATCTCTTCTCTCACTGTAGCACTGCCAAAGCTTTCTCCCCTTGCTTTTAGTTTTTATCATGCTAAGTGACATTCTGTCAACATAACCTGTCCAAACACTGTCGATTGTCGTTTTTTTTTTTTTTGTTTCCTTTTTGGCATCCTCCAGAGTATAACCATCGAAGCATACTTATCGAATGCGATATTGCTTTCACAACATACAAAGCACTGATGAAATGTTCTCCCCATACGTCATAAATACCCCGTAAATTTATTAAAAAAATTTTTTTAATTAAAAAACACATTACAACTCAATTGCTTATCTGGGCCCTACCTGTTGTATGGCAGGTAGATCCTCCTCAATACATAGACTAAAAGCGCAGCAACTGTGTTTTAACACGAAGGGAAATACAGGAAAACCCTGAATATGCCGAAGCCTTTTCACTTCCACGTTTCGACTTTTGTTAGAATTGATATCTTATCCAATCATTTTATTATGGTTCTTTTAAGTATCATTACTATTGATTTCTATCTAACGTTCAATTATTTTTTCTTTCAAACTACCGGCAAATCTGTTTAGCACCTAGAATTTAGTAATTGTTTGGAAATCAATTGCATTTACTTTATACCCTCCGATTTATCCTATTCGTTTTCTGTCTATTTTTCTCACTCTTTCCAACGCCGATGGATTTTACTCTATTTTCCTATGTTGAAGTATAAGTTCAATTGATTTCTTTATACAAATATATGAAGAGCTGCTAAACTTGGTGTTAAAAAGGCAAAACATTAGTCATATTAATAAAATGCCAACAGCAATCTGTGTTCCCAGGCTGTCACCCTCCAAGTACGGACTTCAGAACCTACTTGCTTAACTGTCGCTGATCGGACGAGAAGCGGTGCTTTCAACGTGGTATGAGATCGTGGCGAAAGTGAGGTAACTTTATCCACATTTTTGTCACTGCTAATTTTTTATACTTAAGTAATATGGTGTTTTTGCATCAAACTTTCTTACCATGACGCTTCCAATCTATCACTCAGATCCCCGCTTCCAATGCATTAGTCACAACTAAGCCGGGCCGTATAGTCCATTCAAGCTTCATTGCCACCATTTTAAGTACCTGCCTATGCTTTTACTCATTCGAGTTGTGCAACTCTGGAAAGAATGCAGTTATACAAGTAATGCAGAAGATATTGAGTAAAAAAGATACTATATACGGTTATAAATCTGTGTATACCATCAACCTACTCTTGATATTGCCGCCTATAATATAAAGTGTTAAAAGCATACATGCTAATCATAAGAAAAATTCTGATTATTCTTGAATCTTGAATCTTTGTGTCCTATTTCATATATATAGTTATGTTTGCTGTTGTTGTTGTATCTCCACTATTCCTAATTCTTGCATTCGTATAATGATTATTACCAGTAATTTTATCATGACTATCCCCGTCATTTTCGTTGTGATTGTTACTGCTATCCAGACATCATATTATTCTCCTGGAAGGTTATAATAATGTTACTATAAAGATAAAAGTAGATTTCATAATGATGATCATATTAACGGATACAGATAATATTATTATGATACCTTTGAACAAAAAATAAACTAGTAGTATTAAATGATTATTACATGATTGCAATGCTACCACTAATGATGATTAGCAAATATTACATGAAATAAATGAGAGGCAATCATTGTAAGCACAAACATAATATTGTGATCCTGGCCATCTTAATCATGATACAAAGTAATTAAGATAACATGATCATGAATTAGCAACAATTTGCGGATATCCAAAGGCTGTAGATTATTACGCTCAAGGTCGTGGGCTTGTTTTTCAGCTTTCTCTCCGCACGTGTCTATAGGTTTTTCTATAGTGAAAGTTTTTTCTTTGGAATATTTTTCATTATAAACTTTCAACATCTTGCTTTATCTGGCGCGGAGCTGGACCAAACTCTTGTTTTGTATGTTGTGAATGTGTTTGTAACCTTATATATAATTTTATTATTTCTACGCTATCTACCGAAAAAGTACGTCTGGTGTTCCCTAGGCAGTCACTCATCCGAATACTTAGTATCGTTAGCGGAACTGAATTAAAATCTTATTTCATGGTAGATCATAACACAGACGACAGTCATTTTTTTACTTTTTTTTTTTTTTTTGCCACTGGAAGGCTACAGGAATGGACAGTACCCAAACTTAAAAACTGATACAAATTCTAAGAAAACTTAATCGGTGCGTGTTTTGTTAGATGAATATCTTCATTGCGAATCATTTATCATTGTTCTTTTTGAAGGTATCATTACTATATCATTGTTTTTAACATAATATGATTCGACAGGTTCAATTAGTTTTTCTGTTCAAAACTATACCAGCAAAATCT